CTCACAAAAGTGTTTTTTTTGCCCCCATCAAAAGAAGGTCTTCCAATAATTATTTTCAAGATGCTGTGTTTAAATTTCAGTTTGGGTTTTTTCTTAATTTTATTCTTAGTTTCCAAATGATGTTGCTTGAATTCACGTTTTCTGAGCCACTTGAAAATACAATCTCTGAAGAAACATTTAAATAACCTATTGGATTATTGGTCTTCCATTTTTCGATAACGTTTCCCTGCTAACTCCTGAGTATCTAACAAATGTCCAAATATTAGAATGTGTGGCAATGCTTTAAATGGATAAAATTGTTGACCTTCATTAATGAGGAGTTATAAGGCACACTTTAAATGGTACACTCAGATTTCAGCAGCTTCACTGTATAAAATACTCCATACTTCGTTGGTTTCCACTGAGAATTATATAACGCGTTTTATAACATCATCACAGAGAGGTTCATGTCACTGAAGATCAAGAATTATGAGGTTACAAAATACTCTTTCTAAAGAAGAATTCTTCCTCTATTCTTGTTTTAAAATATTTATATAGGTCTCTGGTTTTGTGACTGGATGAAAAAGCATTCCAAAGCTATTATGATTAAAATAAGGCACCATCAAATAGCCTCTCATGTAGTTAGGAGTAGAGGCAGAGGGAGAGTTGATGGATTATGACAGCCTTCCTCAACCTGGTGCCCTCCAGATAGTTTGGGCTACAACTCCCACCAATCCTACACCTGCTAGTCTAGTGAATGATCTGGGATTACAGGAGATGGGCCAAAGAAACAGAACAGGGATCTGGTTGGTGCAACGCCCACCCCACTGCCCAGCAGCTTCCCTGGCAGAGGTAGTCTCAGACATGGTGCTGGAATACTGTTACAAATATATGTTCACTGAGAGAAGCTATGAACATTGTTATTATTTGCTTAATTTATGTACATTGAGTGTCCATGGTAGGTTTTTCCTTCTCTCTCTCTCTCTCTCTCTCTCTCTCTCTCACACACACACACACACACACACACACCTCACATACTACAGATTTCTTCACAATGTTTATGGGTGGCATTCAACTGAACCCGATCAGCAGAAGCTTTCACTTGCACAACAGGTCTTTGTTGTGGTCCTTCCCCTCTTTCCCTTTGCACCCCTGAAATTGGCTGTGGGGCAGATCAGAAGAACCCCCCGGATATCAGCATGGAGAGGGAGAAAAAGAGGGGGATCATTCTATGCTCATCCTGTTAAAATGGTTGTCTTTGTGTGACATTTGTGTCTTTAAATGCCCTGTGTCTTTAAATGCAGAGTGAGGCAATTCATGAGATGTTGTTTCTGAAAATGTCGATCACATTCAATAGTGTAAATCGGAATGAAACTGAGGCTTGCTTAGCAAATACAGCTCAGTCCCAATGAGCAGGTACCATACTTCGTTAAAGAGTGCTCAAAGTGCCCTTTGTCCCTGTCATGGAGTTCCTGGAAAATTAGGAGCACCATTGAAGTGAGTGGCGAGTACCCCTCCCTGTCAAAGAGATCTTCTGAAGGTGCAGCATGGATTTCAAGAGCTTGTATTTAGGAGGCCAAGTTAGCTGCAGAAGGGAAGTTTGTTAGAATGGCCTAAGCGGCACAAGTCAGTAGACAGTGGAGGTGATTTGCACAGTACAGTAAGAAGAGATGTGAAGGAAGCACGAGAACAGCTTTGCCATTCCCACCGGTGAGCCACTCCGACAGATGATAAGAATACATGTTGGCAGGAGGCATTGGGCCCATGCGAAGGAATGCTTCTCTGGAAATCCAGCACTAGAGAGTCATTAAAGGCATCCTTAAATAATCAGCCTTAATGATTTGCTCTTCTCACGGCAGATAGAAAACGCTGTGTGCATTCAGTTCATTGGTTTTTGCTGCTATAACAGGCAGCGAACAATGGTATTTGTCACATTTTTAGATACATGAATAAATGCAGATGAGTAATAGCTGCTGCTTCACTGGCAGTTTTGGCAACTCAATCGCACACTGGCTGAGTTTTCACTTCACCTCACGTCAAGACCCTCTGCTGCCTAACTCAGTTTCCTAATCTCCCTGCCTTACCTCATTCTCACAACAGCCCTTCACTCTTTCCCCATAACCCTTTATAACTAAGACCCTTTATTGCAAGTACGCTTTCTTATACTGCTGATTTTCTATATAAAACAACAACATACAGCTACGCTTTGCCTCCATTATCAGAGGCTGTAATGCTTCATAATACTCATTGCTGGAAACCACAGCAGGTAAGAGTGCCCTTGTGGGCAGGTGGCGCTTGCACATTTCCCAAAAGGCACCTGCTTGGCTGCTGTGAGAACACGTTGCTGGACTGGACAAGAAAAACTTGAGTCCAATCCCAATGTCTTATATAACTTCCGTCTATCACAGATTAGCAATTATTATGAGGGCGATCGGGATGCGGGCAGCGCTGTGGGTTAAACCACAGAGCCTAGGACTTGCCGATCAGAAGGTTGGCGGTTCGAATCCCCACGATGGGGTGTGCTCTCGTTGCTCAGTCCTTGCTCCTGCCAACCTAGCAGTTTGAAAGCATGTCAAAGTGCAAGTAGATAAATAGGTACCGGTCTGGCGGGAAGGTAAACGGCGTTTCCGTGCACTGCTCTGGTTCGCCAGAAGTGGCTTAGTCATGCAGGCCACATGACCCGGAAGCTGTCTGCGGACAAACGCCGGCTCCCTCGGCCTATAGAGCGAGATGAGCGCACAACCCCAGAGTTGGTCACGACTGGACCTAATGGTCAGGGGTCCCTTTACCTTTATGAGGGCGAGAAAATATTTCAACATATCAGATGTTTGTTTGACTAGGAATTCAAACTCACAAGGCTTGCACACATTTCTACAAGGATGCTGCAGAGAACTTGGCTGCGTGTTGAAACTCACCATCCAATCAATCTTTTGTTCCCTAGCGATCCCTTACATGCGGGACTGTGACGAAATGTTCCAGGCAGGCCACACAGAGAGCGGCCTCTATATATTACGTCCCGAGAACGCCATCAAGCTCGTAGCCTGGTGCCACATGGATGGATGCAATGGGTGGACAGTTATCCAACACAACACCCACGACACTGAAATCACCTGGTCAGAGACCTGGACAACTTATAAATATGGGTTTGGCAACTTGGTGGGAGATCACTGGTTGGGCACTGAGTACATTTCCTTAATAAGCCAGCAGAAATGGTACAAAGTCAGAATAAATTTAGTAGATGCAGGTGGACACCATAGATATGCAGAATACGATAGCTTTGTCCTGAGAAATGAGAACGATGAATATATGCTCAAGTTAGGGACCTACGAGGGTAATGCAGGTGACTCTCTCACTTCTTCCAAGGCCAAAAACATGCACGACAACATGAGGTTCTCTTGTAAAGACAAGGACAATGACAGATCTACCAAACAAAACTGTGCAGACGTCCACGGTGGGGGCTGGTGGTACGACTCCTGCTTTGATGCACAGCTCAACCGCAAAGGTGGGCTTCACTGGGGCACATTATGCGATGAGAATTGCAGGAGCTCAGTTATAATGCTGAAGCCCATCCACATGTATTGCAGCAGGGTGTAGAAATGCGCTCAGCCTCTCATGTCGCAAACTGCTGTAATGGGATGCAGGGGGTGCAACAAAACTGCAGATTCCTTTGCTTCCAGACCTTTCTATATAAATATATGAATAGTGGTTTCTTCTGCTACCTCTCACTGACATGGGAATGTATTTCTGACAGAATTGCAAGCCAATATTCCTGTATAACTTTTTCACTGATTGCAACACTCTGGAGTCTTCCAGTTCTTTATTAAAATAGCTTTTCAGCCGCAACAGAGAGGTGTCTTTTTTTAAGAACAAAAAACCACAACCCTTAATTTTATTCTCACGTCAATCAAAGACTCACAGGAAAGGCCAAGTAAAGTACAGTGGTACCTTGGGTTAAGTACTTAATTCGTTCCGGAGGTCCGTTCTTAACCTAAAACTGTTCTTAACCTGAAGCACCACTTTAGCTAATGGGGCCTCCTGCTGCCGCAGGAGCACGATTTCTGTTCTTATCCTGAAGCAATGTTCTTAACCTGAGGTACTATTTCTGGGTGCAGTCATGGGATTGTTGTCTATCACTTGACGGTGTATGTTTTCATTCCACAGAGTGGGAAGTGACAGAGACAGGATGTTTTGGTATTACTGTGTTCCGGAAAGTGGGACTATTGTCCTTTGTTCTTTCTCTCTGCTGTCTGATGAGAAAGAGGAAGGAGCTAAGTCAGAATGCTCTGAGTGTATTATATGTAAATAAATGTAGATTAGCCAAAATGCTGACCTACTGAGTTCTGTTACGCAAACTGCGAATACTCTGCAGGATCCCTAAGTGTGCTGATGCTTCTTGGTATCAGTTGCTGTGATGTTTGGGCTGAAGAAAGCTTTTGAAGCTCCTGAACAACCGACCAGGAGGGAGAGAACACGCCAGTTGGGCATGTGTCTCTGCCAGGGCCCTACACGAGAGTAGGACGATCCTAACAGTGCAATGGGTCAGTGCATCTGGCTGTTCATGTTAAGATTGTGGGTTAGGATAACAACTGGCATTAAGGAATCAGAATGGGGGAACAGCATTTACACTAGATGCCGGTTTACACTGGGGAATAACATGGAACCATACAGGGCACCAGTAGCCTCATAGGCTCTGCTGTAAGTTTCAGCGTTCTCAACACATGGATCCAATATTTAGCTAAACCTTCCTCCATAATCCACGAGGACTAGAGACTTGCTTCCTCCATCTTTTCTTTAGATGTTCCTAAAGACACCAAGTTACATGGCAGTTCTGCACCTGCCCACAGCTCTGCACACCACCCGCACTTTACACTAACAAGAGCACATCATGCTGCCCTCTGCATTTTATGTTCATTCAAAATAATATGCAAAATAAAGAGAATGCTAGCTCTTCCAGCTCCGTGCTTGGCAAGTAACACTCCCCCAGAGTTTTAAGATGGAATTTAGAGGCATGTAGGACACAGAACCTTTGAAGCGAGGCTTTAATTTTTAAAGACAACCAGTGCATCCAGGACAGGGAGGGAAAATAAAATCAAGCCCCTTCTCCTCCCCGCCCCCCAAATAATAATAATTGAAATGCTAATGAAATCATATGAAAAGTGAAACCAGGCTGCAGTGTTCCAAAGAGAATACATAATCTACAAGCTCAAAATTCAACAGTGCCTCTACTCCTATGCCTGGGGCATGCTTAAAATATTGATAATCAAGTCTCTTCTGGAAGTGTATGATGCATGTTTTAATCTGAACCAGTATCTTGGGAAAAGATTGCCACTTGGGGCATATATCCGCTCTCCTTTCTTGCCCATGAGCGTGCGGAAAATCTTGTTCTGGGACAGAATTTTATTATAGAACTCCACTCCACCTCTAGCAAAGCTGGTGGAAACGGAGGCTGTATTTCTGTCTGTCCTGTAATCCATTGCCTGACTCACAGCGTCGTACGATAAACAATAGCCCACAAATCCAATCGCCATTACAGCCACGTTGTAAAGGCCTCGTAAGAGCACTGGACCCGAATACAAGCCCAGGAGCTGCTTTATGGCTACCCCAGAAATCCAAGTCCCAGCTAAACAAATGGGTGCAACAGCAGCACATATGAAGGGTCCGTTGCTTTGCAAGTACATGAGCTCTCTTGCAATGGCAAACTTCTGAGCCTCCGGAGAAAGGGTCAGGGCCTCCTTCAAGGCCAGGCCTTCTGTGCTGTCCCAGTCCACTTCTTTGCCTTCAATCATAACAACGTGGCTGGCAGTCCTGTTATCATCACTGGCTGCACCACTGAAATGGGCAGGAATGCCCACGACACAGCCTGCAGGCAACCATGGAAGCCCAGCGCTCACTGGGTGGAAGCTGTAGGCCACGAAGGCTTGGTAACGATTTGCTGATTTTACTCTGACGTCACTGATGATGTCACGGAACAGGATCTGTAATTTTCCTGAGAGCTCCATTGGTTTCCCCTTGGCCCAAGCCTGATACAATGGTCTGAATGTCTCCTCAGGAAAGATGTGAAAAGTCAGGTTAGCACCAAAGAGTCCAGCACAGGAAACTGCCAGGAAACCAGTCCTGTGCCTCTCCACCATGGCCACTGTCTTCCAAAGGAACCGAACTGCCATATTCAGCTGCTAGCCTGTTCAATTTCAAGACAAGTGATGAATTAGCATACTTACACATAAGCTCCATTTACGCTATACAGTCATACTACGGGTTAAAGACGCTTCGGGTTAAATATTTTCAGGCTGCGTCCCGCGGCGACCCGGAAGTAAAGGAACGGGTTACTTCTGGGTTTTGCTGCTCGCACATGCTCAGATGCTCAGAATGACGTCACGTGCATGCGCAGATGCGGCAAATCGTGACCCGCGCAGGTTGCGTTCTGCTCATGCTGCGAACGGGGCTCCGGAACGGATCCCGTTCGCATCCAAAGGTACCACTGTACATTTAAAACAGTATCATGCCACTTTAAATGGTCATTGCTTTTCCCAAATAGTGCTGGGAAGTATAGTCTCTTAGGGGAGCTAAGAGTTGTTAGTAAAGGTAAAAGGACGCCTGACCATTAGGTCTAGTTGTGGACGACTCTGGGGTTGCGGCGCTCATCTCGCTTTATTGGCCGAGGGAGCCGGCGTACAGCTTCCAGGTCATGTGGCCAGCATGACTAAGCCGCTTCTGGCGAAACCAGAGCAGCACACGGAAACGCCGTTTACCTTCCCGCCAGAGCGGTACCTATTTATCTATCTGCACTTTGATGTGCTTTCGAACTGCTAGGTTGGCAGAGTTGTTAGCACATCCCTATTCTCCTTACAGAGCTACAGTTCTCAGAGTGGTTTAACAGTCAATACCTCTGAGAATTGTGAGGGGAATGGGGACTCCTAACAACACTCAGACAGTTCCCAGGAATCTTGGGGGGGGGGCGGGGGGGGGGACCATGACTGGTTAATCACAAAATGGTGGCAGTAGGAGCCTGGCTAATCAGAAAGGACAAAGTAACTTGTTCAAGCAGCTGAATACAAGGCAGAGTTTGGGTTCGAAACCACTCCTTTGGTCCCACAGTTTTCTGCTGCAAACTGAAAACCCATTTCAAAGGTGGTAAAAGTGAAATAAAACTTGTCCAAAAAATTGTGCACAGGGCAAAGCTGGAGCCCAGAACACAAAATCGAGTGTTCGGATGCTAAATACATTTTCCAAGGTTAACTTTTTGTCCTGAAATCAGAGTTCCCATTTCGCAGGTAGGGATGTGAGCACTCACAAAAAAATCAGCATTAGTATTTATCTTCTTGGTCCCAGATGTTGTAGTGTAGTGTATATAACGAAATACTTTGTTGCTAGTTAGTCTCAGGCAGTAGATATAAAGAGAGTGGATATCAAGCTAGGACTTGCGAGACCCAGGTTCAAATCTCTATTCAGCTCACTGGTTTACTTTGGGTTAGTCATTATATCTCAGCCTAATCTACCATGCAGGGTTCTTATGAAGATAAAAATGACAGAGAGACAGCTATGACATATGCATAATATGTTAAGGGTGCTTCTGGACTGCCTCTGTTTTGGGGGGTGGGATTCAATCACATACAAATTTGGGTTACAGTTAGTTAGTCTGGCACTATTGCACTACTCCTCCCCACCCCATCAGACTCTTTGCAATCAGGGAAGTGATAGGAAGATGGAATAATACAACACTGTGGAAACCTCCTGCAAACAAATAATTTTGAATGCCCAAGACTGGTCATCTGGAAGCAACCTAAGTAACAATAATACATGCCTACAAGCAGTGCTATTTTTCTAGAAAAAGAGGTGCTGGAACTTGTCATTAATACCTCCCTTGTTCTCTTAAAATGGCAATGGTGTCCATCTGAGAGGTGCCGGAACTGAGTTCTGGTGAGTTCCAGCTGAAAAAAATCCTTGCCTACAAGGCCAGTATTATGTCATGCTTTTTATGTATTAAATGTCATGCTTTTTATAGCGTATCACAGACATAGCATAAAACAGATGCCACCCTAAACGCTAATTTGCCAAAATAGCAGGTCATGCAACAAGATAACAAGTCAACCCATACTAATTGCAGATCGCAGAATTTAGCTGGGGGGGGGGCTGAAAGAACTCCTCTAATTTTGCATCTAACTGCAACTGCTTGTATCCATGCTTCGTTCTGTTTTGTGCCCCTTCCATTTACAAAGGCAATTCTGAAACACAATTAAACGCGCATAAAGGCATTAAAAAACTACAAGGATCCCCTTCCGTTTTTAAGCACTGGAAATGGGCAGGCGCTAAGGATAAGGACCTGATCTCCTACCAGCAGAATGGGCCAATACCTCTTTTAGCAACGCGGTGTTAAATCCCAACTCATTTCTACCTACCCACACTCCACCCGCAGCATACCGGAAAGGGAAAACGCACGTGGGTGCCGTAAAGAAAGTCAGCTGCTGAGAAAGCGGCGTGCTCAAGTTTAGCAGGAGAAAATAGCCGGCGGGAGTTCCGGGTTGCCTTGGCGACGAGGAACCCCTGCTGTTGCAAAAGGCATTGGAGCCCCCCCCCCCAACCGCCGGGCTATAATTGGACCTTTCCGCTGTCTTCCTCTTGTGGTTCTCGATTTTGCCGTAGGCCGTTTTCCTGTCCAGGAGGATGGAGCGGGGAGGAAGACGCATATAATATATCCCACAAGGCAGCCAACACGAAGAGGTTTATTGAGCAAAGCTGAAATGCAAATCCGGGGAATTTGCAAATGCAAACTGAAATGCAAACGGAGAGAGAAAAGAAAGGGGGTTCCCTCGAAGTAATATATATGTGCAAATCATCCTTTGCAAGGGCGCGTTGCTCGGGCCAGTTACCCACGAGCCAGCTCCTTGGAGGGGCTTCTTTGCGAGCAGGGCTGCGCTGCTCATCTCCTCCCTGCAGCCCTTGGCGAGGAGGGCCTGCCTGACTCATAGCCCCCCCCCCCGACTCCGACCCCTCTCGTTTCCGCCAAGCTGCAGGCATATAGGCAGCGTTTGGCTTCGCCCTGCCGCCCCAGAGGCGCGGAGAAAAAGCGCAGACTGGGCAGCTGCCGAGCTGGCTTGCCATGCCTGCTGCCCTCGCCTACTACCGCGGACAGCTGCGCAGCCCGCCAGGAGCCTCGGAGGAACAGAGCAGCCATTGATCGTGGCCGGGCTGGGAGAGATCTCTCACAGGAGAGGCATTCTGCGAGAAGCGTCCCGCTCTCTCTCAAGCCCTTCTGCTTTGTTGCGCCGCCTTGTTAGGGGGTTAAGGTTTTTAAAAGGAAGTGTGTATATGTGTGTGGCGGGTAGGCGGGGGTGATAAAGGCTACTCGCCTCTCAAAATAATCGCAATTACGTTCCCTTAATCGCAGTCAAGAGGGTCGTTGTTGGGGGCTTCTTCCCCCCTTTTCTTTTGCACAACAAACGCATGATTGTTATTACTTGGGCCATGCAATTTCCTTGGAGCTTGTGCTTCTGTTGTCATGATGATGTGGCCGAGTGTGTTACAACTAACTTTCCTCCCCAGGAATGCACTGGTTTTTGGAGAGAGCTATGAAGCATGCCAATGTCTGGGAAGGCTACACTGATTTGCAAATTTCCGTTGTATAATATTAGCCATGAAAATGAAACAAAAAACCTGTTGGTGTGATACACACAGCAAAAGAGCAGAAAAATAAACCCACCCCTCTCTCACCCACTCTTTTGTGGATCTTCTTTTAGAATAAATATATATTAAATTGTTTACAAATTCTATGCACTCTTCTGTAATTTGTCGTTTAGTCGTGTCCAACTCTTTGTGACCCCATGGACCAGAGCACGCCAGGCACTCCTGTCTTCCTCTGCCTCCCGCAGTTTGGTCAAACCCATGTTCGTAGCTTCAAGAACACTGTCCAACTATCTTGTCCTCTCTTCTGTGATAGAGTTTATGATTTCTCTACACGTGGATCATGCTAGCCTTTTATGGTTATTACGAGACTTGCACTTTGAGCCTGGAAGGATAAACACCCATCGTCTATGACACAATGCTTTGAGGACCATCCTGGCTATATTGGAACATACTCATAGACATCTGTTTCATGGGGATACCCATATAAACAACTGGAGGGCTTATATTAAACCAGAAGTAGCTAATGTGGTAACCACCTGCTATTGTTGGCCTGCAACTCCCATCATCCCTTACCATTTACCATGCTGGCTGGGGCTGATGGGAGTTGGAGTGCAAAAACATCTGTAGGGCACCATATTAACTCCCCATGTACAGTGGTACCTCGGATTACAGACGTTTCAGGTTACAGACGCTTCAGGTTACAGATTCCGCTAACCCAGAAATAGTACCTCGGGTTAAGAACTTTGCTTCAAGATGAGAACAGAAATCGTGCGGTGTTGGTGGGAGGCCTCATTAGCTGAAGTGGTACCTCAGGTTAAGAACAGTTTCAGGTTAAGAACGGACCTCCAGAATAAATTAAGTTCTTAACCTGAGGTATCCCTGTATTAATGTTTAAGTTTGGATGGATGCATTGGTGGTTATTGTAGCCTTAATATGAGCCGTTGATGGTTTTTAAGAAATTTGTTATTTTTCATATATTATTTCTTTTTCTTTCATAAAAAGGTGTTTATATTCCCTTATATTCCCTCACTTAGTTAAATTTGCAAATAAAAAATTAGCGTATGTTTTAATTTTTAATTAGTAGCAAGTTTCTTGCTATCATCCAAGTTTCTCACTACACTCATGAACAAAAGTGATGGCTAAAGATCCTGGTTTTTAAAGATTCTTTTATTTGCATTGTTGTATTTATTAGCAGTGCTACTCTTAGAAGTGGTGATGGGCTGCTTGTGGACCAATGTATTAAAGCTGAATCCTGATAAGACAGAAGTGTTGCATGTCTGAGGACTTGGGACTGAGAGGTGGAAGAATCAGGCCTGTAGATTAAGAATGCTCCTTGACCCAACATTGTCACTGAAGGCTTCAGGGGCCACAGTGGCTAGGAGTGCCTATTTCCAGCTACAGCTGGTTTGCTAGGTATGGCACCCTTTGGACAGAGATTACTTGGCCACTATGTTCCATGCTGTGTTAACTTTCAGATTGCTTCTAAAGTTATTACTAAAGCTTTGTGTTTGTTTTGTGTCACAAATCCCTTTTTATTGCTTCCACACAGTGTGAATTGATACAATAATGTAATTTCATAGTTAACACCTTAAACCCAACACTCTCAGATTACCTCCAAACATGTATCAAAGTTCTGTGCTGAGTTTTTGATACAACCCCCAGCAGTATCACTTTTTTTAAAGCTCTCTTTTTAGATGGGCTGATAAAAACATAGGTACTGATTTAAAACTTTATAGGTTATTTCATACTGTTGGATTGCAGCTTGATATTATTTGCTGTTGCCAGCTGCTTTGGACTTCCATTTGGATGGAAAAGTGAGGTAATCACTGAAATGAAATAAATAAACTATGCACAGTCTTCCAAATGCAGCTGTACCATAGATTTACATAAACAAACTGTGATATGTTAAATCTAACAGTGCTTCTTAATGGTACTGTACTGATTTTTGTTCAGACTGGCGTAACTTTTTCAGTCAGTCTGCTAGGTGGTGCTAGAGGACATGCTCTAAGCTAGTCATTTAGTGTGGAAAAATATATATATATTGATGTATTAACTGAAAGCAAATCCGTGTAGGATTATGCCTGATCTTCTGTCTGCACTATTCTGCATAAGGCTTTGTTGACTGCTGCCACATTAATTAAGGTGTTGGCTCTTATGAATGATGAGGTAGGAAAACTCTGGCTGCATGAGTCCCTTTTTGGATAGTGAACACCATTTGTTTATTTGGAATAGTTTTCATTGTCAAGCACTTGGTGCTCTTTATGGAGACATTTATTTGTTCTATCTTTTGAACATACCCCCAAACATGGTTCTTTTCTTCCCACCTTCCCTATTTACTAAGGAATAAAAACCACCTGTGCCGAACCTTAATGTTTGAAAACCGACAAATCTATAGATTGAGGAGCTACTGTAATGCATTGGCTGTTTGATGGAAGATTTCAGGGTCATTGCTAGCACGAAGCCAGACCAATGTACCCAAATATGAAGAGAAATTTGTCCTGTCATTCACCCAATATGGTAAACGCTTATTTTTCATACATGGAGATGCTTTGTGTAGGGAGGTTGTAGTGTAAAACAATCACTAGGTGACAAGTTTCATTTGCTTATGAATAGCAAGTTGCAAATGCTAGCATGCTATTGTAAGACATGTCAACACGTCATGCATGCCTATTTGTCATAAAGCTCAATGATCCTTGTGATGGCTGTCCACATAACACAAGGGTCTGAACATGGGAACATAGAAAGCTGTCAGACACCTGGTCCATTTAGTATTGTCTACACTGACTGGTGGTGGCACTCCAGGAGAGTGCAGAAACCTACTGAATTAGCAAGTGTGTCAGCTTCTTGCAGTTCATATACAGTACCCTGCAGTTGCACATCTGCCTTCAGGGATTAGGCAACTGATCTGCAGCACTGTTTAGGCTGTGAACACACCATACATTTAAAGTACATGGGAGAAAATATTGGGACCCATAGCCTACCCCCCTCACAGAGCTACAGTTCCCTGCACCTTAACAAACTACAGTTTAGGGGAAGTCACATACTTCAAATAGAGTATACATTTCATTATGCCTCAGCAGTGTAGAACCCACTACAAATTCCTGCCTTAGCAGCATAAGCTTAGCTGTCATTTTCCTTCTAAGACGGCATTCCTCTTCCACCCCCGGCTCATGTTTTATTTGATTCCATAGGCCTTCCTGAAATGCAGCGCGTATAATAAAGCTGTTGTTTTGAGTATTATGCGTTAAGTATTAGAAGAAAAACAGCCCTGAGTCTAAATTAAGAAACTGCTTATTCCTGTTTCTCATTCCAGCTGGTTTTCAGAGAATGAATTAATGCCCATAAAAATCTGAAATAACACTACGTTGGAGCACATAAATACTTTTAATTTGTAGATGTACCATTTGCCACTACAGGAGCCCATCTAGTAAAGTGGCAGTTGTAATAAACGCCAGTAAAGAATTAAAGAAAAGACCCTTTCGTTCAACCTTTCCCAGGAATAATGTATGTAAACGGACAAGAGCGAGGACCTGTAATGCTTCCTGAATACAGGTCACTTGTGATGCAAGCCATGGGTATTACAGTCCCCAATGTGCTGCGCCGCTTGCCATCTGCAGTTCACCATGCTTTTATGAGTCATTGTAACACCATCAGCAGCAGTCCTGACCCTCACATGGTAT